TAAATCAACTCGTCCTTAATCGGGGTAAAATGAGAACACCGTTGCAATAATTCTCGACTCACTGACTGCGGAGAAAGGTTAAGTGACTTAATTGTTTGTACACTTATCTCTTCTAAGTCGTTCGAGTAAATGCCTTTTATGGAATGTGTTTTACTGTCTTTTTCTTAACGTTTAAGCGATACGAACTGTCGTCGTTAATTCGCTTACCTCCCACGGCTTTAATACGTAATTCTTCTATACGTCCGCGAGGCGCTAACTTCTGAGGCATCCACTCCTCTATGAGTGTCATGGTTGATCCTTCATCCAGAAGAGCTGTGGTCTTGACCTTTCCTTTAGGTCCATACAACTCGACCGGTATAATCTTTAAGTATGCACGTGCCAGTGCATTCACTGTACTAACAGTTGTAATTTGAGCCTCTTTACCCCCCCTCATCCCCTTGCGGCGAGGTATTTTCATTGGGGTATCGGTGTAGCATTCGATGATGTGACATTCTACATCCCTTTACACCACATTTTTCCCTTTGCACTCTAACCTCATATGGTTAGGTGACAAACATTGAAATCATACTTTCGCTTTTTTAACCGCTTCCCATTTTTCGCGATTATTCATGTCCTTAAACTTGTAACAACTCACTATAGAGTGCTCCTTGTTACATATAACACACTTATGTGTTACCCGACTTACAGGCTTATCCTGGGTTATCATAACCACTTTCGACTACCGTTTCACTCCTGGATATAACGGATTGTTGTGCGGTGCTGGCCTGCGTACCACTGGTGTCCGTCCTGTTGCTTGTCGTTGCCATGGACGCCCCTGAGTCCCACGTGCATGTGGACGTATCGGTGGTGGCTCCACTTGAAGGAGTTGTTCCACTCGAAGCAGTAGCTGTGGTCGCTCCAGATGGTTCCGCCTCTTTAGCTTTTCTTGAGGGCCCTGTCCTTGTCTAGGTTCCTTCGCTTCTCCCTGTCTGGTCTTGTGCCTTCTTCATCTTGCAGGAGGGTGATTGTTGGCCGACGGTCCCTAACTGTCCCTACGGTACAACCCCTTACCTACAACCCTTCTACACCCCAACCTAACCCCACTACCCCTCCCCCCCTTTATCTCCCAACCCTACAACCTTACTACCACCCTATCAGCCCTATCAGCACTATCAATCCTGAACGGGGCCTACCGAGGTGAGCCGTCCAGGGATGGAGTCGTGCAGGAATGGAATGGAGGAAAGGTTTAGGAACTGTCCCGCCAAGGAATATGACGATACAGTCGAGCGGTAATGCAAGCGCAGTCTCGCTCGAGAGAACTGCTCCACCCAAAGGTGTTGTGCCAGAGCCCGACCGTTTGGCACCGTTAGGTGGTGGATGTATGCTGCGCTTCGTCGCCCAGTCGCCGGTGACGCCTCGTCCAGGCACCCTCTTCCGGCCGCGATGTAGTCAGGTGCCCACGGGCACCCTCGCCTGGCAGCAGCAGCGGTGGATGCTTCTTATTCTTGCACCCTCTGATGACCCGACAGGAAATGCCGGACACGGTCGTCCGACAGGAAATGCCGGACACGATCGTCCGACAGAAAAATGCCGAGCACGCTTGCTCGACAGGAAAAATGCCAAGCCCTGCTCGGCCACGATGAGCGCCTTCACAAGGCACCTGCGCCTGGCTGCGATACGTGCCCCTTGCGAGCACACGCCCCAAGCCGCAATCCCGATTTTCTTTCTTCTGGTAGTTCCAGGTCCGGTCCTACTGCGCTGGCCTGGTCTTCTGGCCTTTGGTCCTATTGCTTCAGCTCAAACCTCCGGCTTCCTTCGGTTGCTGATCTTCACTCGGCTCCGAAGGTCTTCTTTTTCCATAACCAGCAGTCCACAGCTGGTTCCTTGATCCGGCTCGAAGGACCACTTGAAAAGGAACCAGACAAACGTTAACTAAGAAAGAGAAGGGAGGAATCGAGGCTTCTCTCGATCCGGCCTCCTATAACGCCTACGTTGGGTTCGGGAACAACGTATGTGACTCCGCAACGGAGTAACACACAAGGGCGATAACCTCTTCCTTTTCAGAAAATAGGTTCAGGCGGGGATTACGGGTCTTCCGAAGTCGTTCCGGTCCCAAAGCCTTAATTCTTCGATATGGACTGTATCACTTTAAGGGGAGAATTCCTTGGGAATAAAACAGCAATTATCTTCAAACCGTTCCGTGAGAGAGTAATTACTTTTCCCTATCACTTCCCTATACTTTTTCTTTCTTCTTCTTATTGACTGCTGGTCTTGCACTTTTCCCGAACGATTTGCAACGTTGATGTCTTCTGTACGTACCTAAGTACGTGCAGGTATCGGGCCTCGGGGTATACCCCATTACCCGGATATCCTCATACCCCATAACTATGGGGCAGTCACTTATTGCCTATCTTGGCGTGGTTATGCTGCATATATTATGTAGCCGGATAAGAATTTTGCTTTCCGTAGTTCACCGACTACGGAAAGGGAGGTAATCTATAGAGGTTATCAAAGTCTAAGTTGGCCTTTCTGCGGCATTGTGGGTTGTTACTCAACTCTCTAATCACATATAGAGAGGAGTTCTCTTGGAAGAGGTCGCCCGTCCGGTGGCCGGGTGTGTAACGGCGCAAAGCCGTTCAGATGTTCATGTGGCCCGTTATCGGCACGGTCAAACATGCCGCGCGCTAACCGGGCCACGAAGTCGGTGATGGTCTCGACTTTCAGATCGGCCGCTATGACGTCATTCCGGACGTAACGACCTGCTCCGACAATCGTCCTTAATGACAGGTTCTGCTGAGCCTGTAATCGCCGCCTCTGGGTGTCACTCAGAAGCGCGTACCAGGCCGGAGCAGCGTAGGTGGTAATAGTCCGGATATACATCTTGTATATCCGGAGCTTGGTCTTTATGGGCAGCTTGGATGCCAGGACCGGACGAAGCATCGCCCGCGCACATCTGGCTTTGCGGACGACGAAGTCGACGTGCGCAGTCATGCGCAGCGCCCGGTCGATCCGGCACCCGAGGTATGTCACGGCCTTCTCGTACGCGATCTTCTGGCCGTCGAGAGTTAGTGGTGGTGGTAAGTTTCTGAGGCGGCGGGTGAGCAGAGCGGTCGTCTTACCAACGTTGACGACCATCCTCCACTCGTTCAGCCATGGTGGCAACAGGTCCAGCAGACGCTGCATTTTGGCAGTGGCTATATGGGCTCTTCCGGACGAGGTGAAATAGGCGCTATCGTCCGCATATAGCGCCAGCTCGACGTCGTCCTCCCAAACGATTTGCAAGAAAAATCAATTTACTGAACTACCTCGAAGCTAAACGCGAAAGTGAGCCGCGCCATTTGTGCGCTTCCGCAACTCATTTACATCAATTTGTACTATCACTCTCTCACGGTTTGCTCAATAACTTTATTTGTATAAGACATACATTTATACAATTTACTTATAAAGATAGCACAAAAAAATATCTATAATACGATATACATTACATTTTCATATCACAAAAAATCCTTTATTTATTTAACAAAATATGCTTTTTTTTACTCACATGTTCAAAGTTGGAATTTCTTAAATATTTAATATAGAAAGTTAAAACAATGTTTTCCACTTGAAATTATACATATCTTAACTAATACAATTGTTTAATTTACACTTTCTCTATACATTTCACTATTAAAACACTTTTAAATTTCTTATACAAAACTATCATTATTTCACTTATTCAGAGGAATTTTCACATAAAATAACACAGAATTCACCTCTTTTACACGTACAATCAATCTGAAATGTTTTACAAGTTATTTTACATAAATTGCTGAAATTTGCAAATATTTAAATTTCTACATATTTGGCCTCCTAAGTACGTGGCTAGCGTGCGTCTATGAACTCACACTATTTGAACAACTAACTTTTGCACGGCTATCGACTATCAGTAAAAATAGAAAGTTTAGTATACACTAATATCAACAATACTAGGTGAATAAATGATTCTACTCAATTCTCAAACGCCGAAAACTATTTCTAATCAGATTCTTATCAGTTATCATGTTTCTTATCAAACAATATAAGTGAATGTTTTCATAAATCAATCATAGAAAATAGGCATTTGTTTTCATACAAAACATATCAAACTCATATAAGACAATACTTATGCAATTAATTTCCATTAATTCTACTTATGCACAGCGATCATCTCGACCAGGGAACAAATCCTGGTCTCTAACTTTATTTTAATATTTCTTTAAATTAACATTATTGGAAAGATGATTTCAACCGGGGAACAAATCCGGTAACATAATTTATATCTTAAAAATTCCCTATATGAATTTATTAAGAGATATTACTAAGAAAACGATAAACTATTCCAGCCGGATATTTCTTTAAGATTCAACTAAGCATTTTCTTATCGGAATATTGTTGCTTGATAATTTGCTTTTTAGAAGCTATTCGTAATCGGTTAACTAATAAATTGAAATATTCTTATAGGCGCGTCGCCAACAATAATGATCCACAAGAATCAAAACGCGTTATTTTCCAGATATTTAGAGGATATCAAGTCTCAAACTTATGTTTCTTATTTCAGTTACCATAAACCCATAGTTTCAATGATAAAAATTCCTGAATAACCTACATGTATTGTAAGATATAAAAATATTTTAAGCAATATTAACTTCTCATTTATTAAATAAGTTATCTTATCGGTCACCACGCTCAAAAACTGTAACTTGAATTAATATCAAATAAAAAAATAAAGAAAATACGGCATAAATAAAATAAATAAATAATTATAATTGCATAAGTTCATAAAAATGCTATGCAATACCCTTACCGCGGCAGTCCCCGAGTGTCACACGTGTTTTTTTATACTACGAACTTTGCATAATTAATATAATAGTATTAGTTAGGCAGTATTATCATTAGTTATATCATTATTATATATTGTCTATTTGGTCTGGTCTGTATAGATATAGATATAGATTAATTAAATGTGTCAAAAAACCTTAATTTTGAACTTTTTGTTTCAGGAGTGAAAAGTTGAAGTGTTCCTCGGAGAGTTTTTATTTTTGATTTTAAATAATTTAACCTTGTTAAGAAACTGTACACATAAATATATTATTATATTTCTTCGTTTTATTAAGATTCATTTGTTTCACACATTAGAATATGAAACTTATTTTTCTGAAATCGGCAAAACACAGGACATATTATGGCGTTGAAAATATCAATACTTGTAATTAGCAACGAAACGATAAACTCTTTTAAATGTTTAATATTTAATTGTTAGCAGTTTCAAAGATTATCCCTTTAAGGTGGCAATTAATTCTTCATTCATCAGCGTTTGACAGCTGACAGCAGTTGATTATCCACTTGTATACAAAACCAAAGCATTACAATTTAGAACCTATAAATTCTTTAGTGTCATTCAGTTTGTTCTTACCACTAACTTTCTATTATGCGGCTGACTGTAAGTTTGTTTTTATGTATTTAAAAAAACTCAAGTTAATTAGAAAAAATCATTAAAATTAAGTTTGGAATTAATTTTCTTAAAGACGGTATCACAATCTTCTTGAAATATGACAGGCAAGAAAAGTTCAACGATGTATCCAGAAACGTACGAACACGGCACACACGTGTACGCACGCCTGCACGCACGCCTGCACGCAACCCCGCACGCACGCGTGCATGCGCAGTATTGCGAAACCCCACACATGTTGCGTTATCGTGATGTATGTAGCCATATATTCGTAAACACTACGTCACTTCGGGCGAAGGGACTCTCGCACATCAAAGTGATCAAAGCATTAGGATCGTGATGCACTTAGCTTGTGTGCCCACACGTCAGTCTGCCCACAGACATTGTGCGCAGCGGATGTGTTAGTCACTGACCTCTATATACTTAGTCGGGTCATAAGTTCTGTCAAAACCTTATTATTTAAAAATTTTGAATACTGACTAGATGAACTTTACCAATTTTAAAAATATAACGTTTGCACTTGCCGAAAATAAAAAAAAAACATTAATTTACATTTATTTTCAAATATGGAGTGGTCGAAGAAAGAAGATAGAGTAGCGGTAGCATTACAATATTATACAAAAATTGAAAATAACCCTACAATTTGTTTACCGCACTTTCAAACAATTCACTGAAGGTTAAAGCTTCGAAATCGTAAGAAGACCGGCCGACCTCTTACAATTAGGATATCCGCGATCATTAAAGCAGTGAAGGCGCGAATCCAACGAAATCCTGTTCGTAAACAAAAAAAATCGTAGCTCTTCAGATGGGCCTAAGCAGAACTATGGTCAAAAGAGTAATTAATCAATGAAAACCTAGGACTACGAGCTTATCATTAGGAGAGAAAGACATTTTTTGAACGAGCGTTTGAAAAAAATTAGGCTGGATAGATCGCGCGTTTTGTTACGGCGGTACGCAGGAAAAAAATGAATCGAAATTATGTTTTCGGATGATTTTTTTTTTAACATCGAATAAAGTTATAATAAACAAAATAATAAGGTCTATGCCCACAGCAATGAAGAAGCCAGCACGCTTATTCCGAGGCTTCAATGAGCAACTCATGGTTTGGCTTGGAGTCTCATATTCAGGCTTAACTGAGGTGTTTTTCTGTGAAAAAGGTGTAAAAACCATTGCCGAGGTGTACCAAAATACCGTCCTAACAAACATAGTGGAACCTCTTTCTCAAACAATATTCAAAAACAGACATTAGATATTCCAACAGAACTCTGCACCAGCTCATAGGGCACGAATCACGTGAAACTGGTTGACCGCCCATGGAATTGACTTTATCGGACTTGAAGACTGGCCCTCTTCTAGTCCAGATTTAAGCCCACTGGATTATAAGATATGGCAACATTTAGAGGAGAAAGTCTGCGCTAAGCCTCAACAGAATTTGGAATCTCTCCGAGGATCTTTGGGTAAAGCAGCGGCAGAAATAGATATGAGTGTGGTGAATGCTGCGATTGATGATCGTGATCGTCGATTAAGGGCATGGTATTTTGAAAAATGAAAATAAAATTGTATTCTAAATTAAATTACCTTTCATTTCATATATAGACCACGCTCTTACAGAATACCAGCGTAAAACAGTAGTTTAATGCAGCTGAGTTTCGTATGGTGAGTGTAAAGAACAGGAGACCCTTTTTACTGGAAACTAGGCATTCCATCTCGGTCCTCAGGGCTGGCAACGCATCTGCATTTTGATTTTTAATTGAAGATAAATGTAGAATTCTATATAATTATCAAAAAGTGTATAATTAATTTTATAAAAAGTTTTTGACAGATCTTATGATCTAAGTATATAAGTACCCAGAGGTCAGTGGTTAAAGTAAATTGAGCTTTGGGACGTATTTTCGACAGTGACAATTTTTGAAGTAATGAGAATTGTATGAGATACTTTGATTAAATAATGCAGGTGTCTAAAACTGTCCAAAAACCTAGAAAAAATTCGCTGCTACATAATATAGAGCAACCGCGGTGTCAATTTTGTGTTTAGCGTGTGTTTATCGCGAAAAACTTTACAACGCGCAGTGTGGCCAGGCACGTTCGCTACGCCGTAAGTTTTATACTCGTATATCTTTATATTAGTCTCGTAATTACGAAAACCTTTGCTATCAATCCTTGATAGCAAAAGCATAACGCCTCTCCTCCAAAATTCCTGTTTTTTAATATTTATAACTTAATAAAAATTGTGGAACTTTTATTTGATTGAGAAATGCAGCTGTAGTCTCTGCCTACCGCCCTGGGTAACAGTCGGCCTACACCTCTGAGTGGGTGAGAGTTTATTTATGTGCGATTTTTAATTGTATTTTATTACAAATAGTGCTGTCTTAGTGAATTCATTCGCAGAATAGAAAACAAGTCAACCTCCTCCGCTATTTGATTGAAGGTGCATCATCATCTTCTTCATAAGCCCCTAGCAGTCCACTGCACCACATGGGCCACGTCGGGTCTGGATATTTTATGTCTGGCATAGACATGTTGGTTATACCAGAAGTCGTGACGTCCTTCTATGATTTTCCACGTTCGTCACATACGACATCCCTGAAACGAAATCGGTTGATGGATTCTCTAACACCGCTACCACACTTCATAACACTACTACACTAAAATTTATATATTTTTTCATTTATTTATCATATGAACAAGCATTACACATATCTGTAGTGATAGCATTTAAAAAACCACTAAGGTTTATACTAAAGCTATCGAGAGATTACAATTTTATAAAATAATTGTGCCGTGTAGTGGCGGTTGAGAATATCCACTACCCCATATCTTCCCGTAGGTGTCGTAAGAGGCGACAGAGGGACACAGAAAGGAGATGGGTAGCAGCATCTTCCTAATAACAACAATAACATAATAAAAAACTGCGGTTACCAACCCGCTCGCCAAGCGTGGCAACTATGGCAAATATCCCCCCGTGAGCAACGACGCAAATAAACGGCCCCTAGTCCCCGGCGGCCCCGCTATTCCTGGCTACGGTGGCGACCATGGTAACGGCGGGGCAGGGGGGTGCTAAGAATCTCCGGTGGAGGTTCGGTTGCCACCTACGACGACTCGACCTGGCAACGTATAACGCACGCACCCTGAGGACTGATGAGAAGATACTGGAGCTGGAAGACGAGGTAGACAAGTTGCGCTGGCATATTATTGGATTATCTGAGGTCCGAAGAGAGGGGGGAGGACACGGTAATCCTCGAGTCCGGCAACTTGTTCTATCACCGGGAGGGCGACCATCTGTCCCAAGGAGGTGTCGTATTTATCGTCCACAAGTCTCTCGTCAACAACGTTGTAAAGATTGGGAGTGTGTCGACGAGAGTCACGTAGAATCACCAAACGGTATTCGCTGAAGGGCATACAGGTCTACGCACCAACCTCGGCACATCCCGATGAGGAGGTGGAGGAAATGTATGAGGATATTTCTAGAGCCATGCATTCCTCCAAAACCCACTACACGGTGTTGATGGGAGACTTCAACGCAAAACTAAGCACAAGAGAAGGCGGTGAGCTGAAGTTAGGGAAATTTGGAGTAGGGCAACGGAACCGTAGGGGCCAGCAGCTGGCTGACGTTATGGAGAAAGAGGGACTCTTTATGATGAACTCTTTCTTCCAGAAGCGGCCCCACATGAAGTGGACCTGGTCGAGCCTCGACGGTTCGCCAAAAAATGAGATTGACTTAATTATGACCAGACGCCAACTGTTCAGTGATGTCTCAGTGATCGCAAGGGTGAAAACTGGTAGCGATCACCGAATGGTTAGAGGCACACTGAACCTAAACGTTAAGTTGGAGAGGTCTCGTCTAATGAAGTCAACGCTCCGTCCCCCTCGTGCTCTAATCCAGAATCCCGAAACCTTTCAGCTCGAGTTACGTAACCGCTTTCAGTGCCTAGAAGATTGCAATGCTGTGGACGATATGAATGACAAGCTCGTGGAAACTGTCCATGCGGTCGAAGCTAAATTCTGCAAGGCCCGCCGCAGAAGAACACAAAAACTCTCCGATCACACTCTTAATCTCATGGCTGTTAGACGGGAGATGAGGCTGCAATCGTCAACAGATTTGACAGCATACAGGCAACTGAACAGACAGATCTCCAATGCATGCGGCGAGACTTACGCAACTTTAATACTGCTCGTATTAAAGAAGCGATCGAGCGGAACCAGGGCTCCAAAGTCTTTGCCAGAGATCTGTCTGCCAGAAATAGCCAACTGTCAAAGCTGAAGACTGAGTGTGGCAGCATCGTTTCCGGGACACCTGAGATTTTGAGTGAGATTGAGAGGATCTATGGGCAGCTGTACACATCATCGTTGGAGACACACGCAACTGTGAGTAACGATCCAAGAGCAAGTCTTACCTGACACTATTCCGATGATATCCCGGACATCAGTCTGAGCGAGATTAGAATGGCTCTCCAGCACCTTAAAAACGGCAGGGCCCCAGGCGAGGATGGAATTACAGCGGAGTTTCTGAAAGCGAGTGGAACACCGATACTTGGAGTCCTTTAGAAGCTCTTCAATTCCGTCCTTCATGGTGGCACTACTCCGGAGGCGTGGA